ATTGGGTTGCACTTGATGGAATTAGCATGACATCTAAGTGATCACTATACAGATTACTATTCAGATCACTATTCAGTGGTTACTTTTTAAGTGAGTATTATCAAACAAATACTATTAGTGTGAGTGTTATTCGAAGGTGTCTGACACCAGTATTGTTCAATGGCTTACTATAGTTGTATCTGCAATTACAAAGTCTCTACTACAATGAGCATTATGAAAGTGACAACGAGTATTCATTGACATTGCAAAAGTAGCAATGAGGATTCTTTGAACTCGCACAAAGAGTCCATCACTTACAAGGATTCATTCAATTTACATGAGGAAAACATTAATCTGCAAAATATTCAGCAGAGTACAGCAGAATGGAAGAATTAAAAGATATCATGGTTCAAATGTTGCAGCAACACAAACTACAACAAGAACAACAATTACAGTAACAAAAACAACATCATGAACAGCAATTACAATTACAACTACAACAACAGAAATTTTTTGAGTTGTTTACCAAAACGATGAAAGGAAAAACTTCAGATTCATTCACTCTAGATCCTGTTGCTAATTCAATCAGTGAATCTGTGTACAATCCAGATGAAGGGATAACTTTTCCAGCTTATTATAGAAGATATGAAGGGAGCTTCAAAAGGGATTGTTCGCATTGGAATGATGAAAAGAAAGTTCAGTTATTATTATCACTGCTTAACATGAAAAATATGCAAATTATATTTTGCCAAATATAGAGACATAAATTGTGATGAGACTGTTCTAATACTATCAAAAAACTTTTGGTGATAGGAGTTCATTATTACGATGGCAATGTCTTAACTTAGTAAAGTCCAACAATGAAGATTTTGTCACTTATGCAGGAGTCATGAATCAAGAATGTGAAAAGTTCAAGTTAAATGAATTAACTCCTGATTTATTTAAATGCCTGATATTCATACAGGGTTTAACTTCTAATAAGGATGCAAAGATAAGATCCATAATACTTACTAAATTAGAAATCGATCCCAAATTAACTCTCCAGAAGATAGTGGAAGAGTGTCAACATACTCTGAATTTGAAACTCGATACCGCAAGGATTGAGGAAAAAGACAATTCACAGGTACATAGTGTCCGCCATCTAAGAGAAAACTACAAATGTTTTTCAACTCCTAACAAAATAGTAAAAAAGACTATAACCCCCCCCCTCAATACCTAATACTTGCAACAGTTGTGGAGGTAAGCATTTTAAAAGTGATTTTTTGTTCAAGAACAAAAATTGCTATGAATGTTGGAGATTAGGACACAAAAGAATGTGTTGATGGGGTAACAATAAGAAGCCTAAAAGGGAAATTAAAAAGACATCTCAAAAGGGGAAATTCGTTTTTGTAAAAATGATTTAAAAATAAAATTGCATCTAGATACAGAATCTGATATAACTATCATAAATGAATAGACATGGAGAAAAATGGGTAAACCCAGTTTATTGACTTCTGATAAGGTTGCGCTTGGAGTCTCGGGAAAGAGATTGAACTTTTTGGGTGAATTCAGCTGTAACGTTTCTTTTGTGAAAAATCGCAAACAGCAGTGGTGTTTGTATGAAAGAATACTGCTAATTTGTTTGGAACAGACTGGATTGCATTGTTTGATCTTTGGAACTTTCCAATTAACACTTTTTGCAACAAGAATACTGTTACTCCTGATACTAATACGGCAACTGAAAAATTGAAAAATGAACTGAAAAAGAGTTTTCCAGAAGTTTTCTCAGAAGGTATGGGAACATGCATGAAAGCAAAAATTAAATTTGAGTTAAAAGAGAATGTAACACCAACATTTAAGCCAAAAAGGAGTGTTACTTTTGCGGCCTTAGATCTAATTAATAATGAATTGAACAGACTAGAAAAATCAGGTGTGATATCAAAAACAGATTATTCCAAATGGGCATCACCAACAGTCTACACTAAAAAAAAGAAATAATAAAATCTGCATATGCGCTGATTTTTCAACATGGTTAAATGAAAGTTTAAAACAACATAACTACCTATTACCAAGTCCAGAGGAAATTTTTGCCAAATTGAATGGAGGTAATTTTTTTTCTAAATTGGAACTATCAGACACTTACCTACAAGTACTAGTGGATGAAGACATCAGATTTGTCACTAGCTCATTTTGATCCAAAATTAAAGATTGGTTGCATCAGATGCAAGTGATTCGGGTATACTACAGAGATATGAAGACGGAACAACTAAACCAGTAACTCATGTTTCAAGATCATTAATTGCAGCTGAAAGAAGCTACAGCCAGATAGAAAAGGAAGCATTGCCCATCATATTTGCCATGAAAAAGTTTCACAAATTCCTACGTGGTATAGAATTCATACTACAGACAGACCATCATCTATTATTGTTAGGGTGTTCTAACACATACGGCAAATAGACTGCAGTGCTGGGGAACTATCCAATTGAATTATAATTATAAAATGGAATTTCTACCATCCAAAAAATTAAGTCATGCAGACGGATTTTCTAGACTAATAGCAAGATTCTGTGAACCACTTGAGAACACAGTAATTGTGGCGATAAGGGCCGAAAATGAAATTAATAATGTATTATACAATACTGTAAGAAAACTGCCCATAACATTGGGGGAAATAAAAATTAAGATGACTTTATAATGAAAATGAAGAAGAAATTAAACCTAAAGGAAAAAATATTATTGGAAATAATGCATTTTCATTATGTAATGATGTACGCAGTGAGAGTGGTGATAGCAGCATCGTCACAAAGGCGTGTGTTAAAAGAATTTCAGAGGACATCCAGGAATTTCTAGAATGAAATCCTTAATGAGGTGTTATACTTACTGGCCAAAAATGGATAAGGATATCGAAAATTTAGTTAAATGATGCAGAGGTTGTGCTCTGGCAGTGAAGTCACTGACTTTCAAAATTCAACCTTGGCCAAAAACCAATATGCCATGATCCAGAATATATCTAGACTCCCTCCACAGGACTGTTAAACAGAGCATACTATTGAGTGGTAGTCAATAGTTACACTAAATGGCCAGAAATATTAAAATGTAGAAGACCAACTACTGCGGTAACAATAAATTTCCTACACAAGATTTTTGCAAGGTTCATTGTTCCTGACTCTATAGTTTCAGATAACAGGACTCAATTTAAGTTTTTTTGCAAATCATTAGCAATAGAACATATTACAACTACCCCTTATCACCCAAGATAAAACAGACACGCGAAACGGTTTGTCGATACGTTCAAAAGGGCACTGAAAAAGTTGGAGGGAGATGAGTCAGATGAAGTAATGATTCAGCAATTTCTGAGTGTTTACAGAATAACACCAAACCTGAATAACGTGCCTGGAATGTTGCCTGCAGAGTTGATGTTCATTAGGAAGATTAAGTCTGTTTTCAATAAGTTATTACCAGAACGCAAGGCAAGAACATTAAGAAATAACAATAAAAATAGATACTTCAAACCTGGAGATAAGGTATTTTTTAAGATGTATCAACACAGAAAGGAATTCTGGGAAGAAGGCGTTATAAAAAAACTGATCAGCAAAATAACATACATGGTACAGGAACAAAGGTGTGACACCTTAACCAGTTAAAATGCAGATTCGCTGATTTAAAAAGTTCCCAAAAAGAGGTATCAGTGGAAATTCTGTATGACATGTTTAACATACTCACACCATCAGAAACTGTTGAACCAAGGGTTTATGGCAAAAGAAAAAGAATGCTAACATAATTTCTAACCATTGAACCGAAGCTGAAGAAATATAAACTCCAGGGGAAGTCATCTCAAAGGGGAGGTGTTATATAGGAATAAAGTGTTGCTGCCAACACTGGAGTTTGAACACAGATCACCAGAGAGCAAACACAGGTGATCCCATTTTGAATAAGTAGATCAGGTGATGGTAAAGGAAATGTATCTATGGGAATTTGCATGGCATCTAAGTGTTCACTATATCGATCACTATTCAGTGGTTACTTTTCAAGAAAGTGTTATCGAGCAAGTACTATTAGTGCAAGTGTTATTCAAAGGCATCTGACACCAGTACTGTTCAACGGCATTACTATAGTTGTATCTGTGATTACAAAGTCTCTACTACAACGAGCATTGCAAAGTTGCAATGAGTTTTTGTTGACATCACAAAACAGGGCCTGATCAGAGAAATAACAGATGACATGAAAAGAGTGTGTGATGAAAAAGTATCGAATATCTCTCTGCTTGGTGATGAAAAAGTCAATAAGATGCCAATCTTTCGATCTGGGATACATCAATGAGGACTTTCAGCAGCTGAAACGGAGTGTTTGTGATACTGAGATCAAATTCTCTACACACTGCAGACCATTAGAATTCATTCACCCAAGACCATGACAACCAATTGCACCATTCCATGTCTGATAGTCAGAACAAACACAGGCATTGAAGATGAATATAACAATATTCATGAAGAAATTATAACCGAAATAACAATATTCCTGAAATAAATTATAATCAGAATGGACCTTTAAGGATTTTCTTGATTCATTATAATGCTCTGTTATTTACATTCAGCTCTCTTTGGATTAATATCCCCCTTGGGAATATTTCTACCAGTCATAGATTAGTATTACATATATATATATATATATATATATATATATATATATATATATATATATATATATATATATATATATATATAATAAATTATAATATTCATGAAATAAATGATAACTTGAAATGGATCTTTAAGTTTTTTGCTTGAATTAATATATATGCATGTGCATGTGTACATACATATATATATATATATATATATATATATATATATATATATATATATATATACACATTCATACATATATATATATATACACACACACATACATACATACATATATATATATATATATATATATATATATATATATATATATATAAATAAAATCATATTGTTTTTATGTAAAAAAAAAAAAAATTTCATATTATTTCACTCTTAACATTCTCTTTTTTTTTTCAGGTATGAATCCAATTACAATCGAACATATGTGCCAAGGAGTTTTAAATCTGAAATCACTGATACATATACTATGCCACGGCTCCCTCCAGCAGATTTATCAAACACCAAGTTTGCAACTAATGTATAACAGCTCCTCTTCACAGTCTTTATTGTTGTAATGATGATGGTACTTCTACTCCTCTTACTCCTATTACCAGTCATTGGTTGAGTGACAACCACCTCTGAAGATTATGTAATATACATAAACTTTATTTAAGATATATATATTTTGTATGTGTATGCATGTACATGTGCATAAATATATATACATCTACTTAAAAGAGGAATTGAAAGTCAAGCTGGTCCTAGTACTGCAGTCACTTTCTGGGAAGCCTTTGACAGGACACAGTCTTGGAAATAAGTTCTTAAAATTTGTGTTTCACTTGGACCACTCAGTGATCTAATCATACTTGTTGAGTTTTGCATATGTTTGCATTTGTTTTTGCATTGACATTGCAGCTGTTGCAATGTGCAAATAGAGACAATTTAAATAAACAGAAAAAAGAGATATTGGTATATATTGTGTGTTGAAAGAAGAAAAATGTTTATTTAATAAAAAAAATCAAGTATAAACGATTGCATTACAGGTCTTCAAGATAACCTTCATCCATTATATCTTAAATAAGTGATAGGTGATAATGTGTGTAAATATACATACAATGTAAATCCATAAGTATATAAGTATATGTACTTTTAAAACTTTTTCTAACCTCCAGCCTTTAAACACAATACTGATCTGTCTTTTCTAAAAACCTCCAGAAAATCATGTGGGATTTTCCTGTCACTGATTCTATCAGAATACAATTGTTATTAATGCAAATCAACATTAGTGAAAAGAATTCTTATTCAAACTGATTACTGACAAAAGTGAGAAAGAATGTATGTTTGTGTGCATGTGTGAGAAAGAGATTATAATACCATTCCAATGGTATATCAATGTGAATTGTTTTAGTTACCCAGCTAAAGCGCTCAACCTTTGTTGCTGCTATCTGAATATAAAAAAAAAATAATCATTTATTTTGTAGAAATTAATAAAAATCCCCACCCTTGAAAACAAAGCAAAAATCAATTTTTTAACACACAATTTATAATTTCAATGTAGGTAGAGAAAATCTTAATTTTCTTTTGTATTTCTTCCCTATGTACATAACCTTAATTATAGAGTTGGAATGTGTTCCATATTTGCTGATATGTTGAGGAAATTAAATTTTACTTTACAACAAAGGTAATTATTTAAAATATGTCTTTTATTTATGTTTAGTTTAGGTTAAAATATTAGAAAAATGTGCAAATATTTGTTTGAATATATATTAACAAAAGTATTCAAATTATATAATTTAAATAATAAAGTAATACTTTGATTTTTAAGAATATGACAGCAATTTTATTTATGCATATATTGAAGAATTTGTAAATGTTTAGCTATATTCATTAAACAGGATTAATCATTTAAAATAAGTTTTATCAAATCTTTCTTTTGTTTTAATTGTATCAAAATTATATTAATTTAATTTCAGTTTGTGAAGGAGGAAAATTATTTAAAGAGAAAATATTTTGGATGGTTTAAAAAAATAATGTGAATTTTATTACATTTCTTCAAATTTTTATTTCCTTATTTTCAAACAGCTGAAATTTTGTTTACGTTATTACCTACCAAATAGTATTGTATATAGCAAATTGAAATTAAATAGATATCATCTAATGACAAATATTAAAAATGTTATGGTCTTAACATGAACAAATGTCATGCAAATGTCAAGACCACATTTGAAACATTCATGTTTTCTAAGAAAAACTTTGCTCTAAAATGTTTATTTTCTAAATATGCCCAAGGGTGTCAAAGCAGGTTGCCCTCACATGTATTAAATATTCTTGTCATCTTCATTTGCATCTTTGACAGAAGATTAACCAAACTATATATATACATATATATATATATATATATATATATATAAAAACAAACTTTTAAAAAATGTATGTTTTTGGAGAGAGTATTTACTCTAATCTTTTTACCAATTATATATTTATGATTATATAAGGGCTTATAATTATATTGTACTGATGTAATGACCATTATCATAAAATGTGCTCATTAAGTAAAGTATTGAGATATGTAGGCCTCCAAAATAGGTACTTTAATTTTGTTTGGTTTAGGGCATATACTACCAGTTTATATACATTATATAGGTTATCTAAATATGTATAAAGAAAATGATATACCTGAACATATGCACACATTTAAGTGTGACACAGATGCTTAAGGTATTTAGACTCTCTTATAAAAGTGTATATTCTAAGTTATATATGTACACACAAATGAATGCATGAGTATATATGTATGTATTTGGCATGGTCCTTATTGCACTTACAGATTGCATACATATATTACTTAGCTTTTTTTGTTCATTGTTGTGCAGCTGGAGGTTGCTGCAATAATATGTAATATTCAGAAAATTATTGCATTGCCGCTCCAACAATAATTGGAGTTAGCAATCTTTATTTTTATTCTTGTAAAAAAATAATTTAGAAAACAACAAAAAGAAAACACAATTTCAAATAAAAATGCAGTTAAAAAAAGTTCTCTACTGAAGTAAACCACTTTTAGAAGTCTCTTCTTTGTTTTAAATTCTCCCTTGAATGTGGGGAATCTTTCTGCTGCTTGTGACAACCTAAAAGTTAAAACCTTGAACAAAAATGCTACCAAGTTTAGGATTTGCATTGTTACATCCTTCATCTGTGACACTAAAATCGTATCACTCTATATTTGATTTATTGATTCATTTGATGGTCTGGTCATTTTTTCATTTGTTTCTGTTTATGTTCTTTAAGAAATAAAAGACAAAAAAAGGGAAATGAAAAAGCAAATGGACAAATGAAGAAACAAGTCAATGACAAGAAAAAAATTATGCATGGAAACAATAAAAAGCATTAATGGAAATGGCAATTTCTAAAAGACTTCATTGGCACGTGTTGAAAGGGAGCTTTTAAAACATCAACTGATTGCATCAAATATTTCAAATTAAAAATGATGGCAAAAAGAAAAATCAAATATTGATATTTCAAATAAAGAAAACAAATTACAAATGTGCTTGTGTATTTCCTTAACCCAAACAAATTTTAACTATTTTTTTAAACACATGGAAAAATAACTGGAAAATTTAAGTAGCGATAAAAATTCTAAAAGGTAAAATTTCCTTAAAAAAGTATTTTCCTTGTAATTTTAAGTGATATTTTTTCTTTGGATTTAATTTCCATCATTTCTGTGGTTAACAAGGATATGTGTAAAATATAATTGATGCTTAAAAAGTCCATTCACACAGTCTACATATTTATTTTAATCTAAAAGACATAGATATTTTCTCATATTTGGTCTTTCTTTAAAAAATAAAAAGGTGACTTTGTATGCCTTTCAAATTGAAAGAAAATGCAGGCTTCTTGAAATAAGCTGGTCAAATATGAAGCAAAATAAAAAAAAGGAAATACACACACAAGGAACATTTTCCATTAGAGCTTCAAAACATTTTGTGATTTATTTGTATTATTTGTGTATGGTGAACTTGTGTGTTACTTTTTTTATTTTTTTTAAATTTTGGCTTTTTTAAATTCTAACAATAATGGGTTCCAAATTGTGTTTTCTTGGATGGGAAATATTCTGTTAAACTTTTTTTATCATTTGTGTAAATGAGAAAATTTAGGGTATAAATAAATAATTTGAATTTTTCCCAATTGAAATATATAGAAATGGATTAAAAAAAATATATTTATAAAAAAAACAGGAAACAGAATCTGTAGAACATGAATGAATTTGTTTTTCTCTTTTGGGAAATTTTCAGACTTGAGGAATGGGCCAGATTTAAACTGTTTGCTTCTAATACATTTGCTTCACTTTAATAAACTGGTGTCACACACACGGGAACAAGAGCATTTTGAATATTCAAAAAATGGAGATATAAAAACAAATACATGTACATTATTATATATAGTTCAATATATAAATGTGAACATATATAATATAATGCTGACAGTATGTGCACATGACTGAGGAAAATCTGATTGCTGCACAAAAAAACTCTTTTTCTGTAAGAGACATGATTGATGTTGAACCCCCTTTTCAAGCTGGTGGAGGTCACATAGGTTTGTATACCTCACATACCATACAAATCATATGGTCTCTCTCTTCAATAGATTTATAATAAAGAAATGTCCAAACTACTTGTTGTTGTGTTTTATTAAAAAAAAAATTCACTTTATTTTTGTAATGAAAAGATTTAAAAACCACGTCATTTCAAATCTATCACTAATAATATGTTCATATTTTATTTGACACTTCCAGTTTATCTCCTGCACTGTATGTAATTAAGATATCTTAAGATCAATTTAAGAAAAAAAGTCCACTGGAGGGGGCACAATATAAAATGGCCTGTGCACCCCATTAAGGCATAGATACATCTATGATTTTTAAATTCAAGACGTGAAATCTGACAGATGGAACAAAAATGGACAACAGAATGAGGATATTTAAAATTAATACAACATTTATTTGGAATATAGACCAGAGTCCTTGTAGGTTAAATTAGCATGCAAGTCCACAGTTAGAAAGTTCACATGTCTGGTGAAATGGTTGAAAAATTGCTGGTTAAGTTCAATGATGAACCTTCTGCAGTATTTTACCTGAAGTATATGGAGTAGGTTATTTGAAGTCTGGACGATATAACCAAAGTGTGGTGCTGGTATTATGTAGTTGCTGGTCATATCCAATGTCCGGTGCTGGCATTAACTGATGCGTACAGAATAGATTGTTTGAATCAGGATGATATCCATGCGGAAATTTCCTAAACCAGGTAAGTTACATTGACAGGAAAGCTGGAAGCAGAGACTAAGTTGTAGCTGGAAGTTCAGGGCTGTTGTAAGCAGGTCTATTAATGCAGATCAACCAAGTGAGTTAGGTTGAGATAAGGGCTGGAAGTAAGATATCAGAAGATAAGGGTCAGTGATAGCTGAAAGTAGCAAAGGATAGAACTTCGCAAGGAACCTCAGGGTTGTCGCAACCTGGTACTGTCCTTCTGTGACGCCACGTTCGACACAGTAAAAATGACCCACGAGTGAAAGAAGTCAAATTAATACAGGTAAATCCGAATTATGCGTTCGTCCAGCACTTGGACGGGTGACGAGATAATATTGAAGGATTTGGCCCCTGCGGAAAATTCTCCTCCGAGAAATCAGACACGACATCGGTACTAGAACAAATGGACCAACATGACTTTAGTTCTGACGAGAATTAGTACCTAAAAAGCGAGTCCATTCTGAAACGGACACGGGACACAGCTATTTCACATTCAGACGCAGATAGAATCAGATCAAAGACTACATAACATTTCAAGTCGAAAGTTTATACTTCAAAGTCAGGTAGGCAAGACAAACCCGAGACAAAAGATCAGGCGGCTCTCGACTGCACAATGTCCTCAAAGGACACAACAGGAGACCGGATCGATGGCATGACTTTGTTCCCTCTAAATAACCAGTGGGTGAAAATGTGATATGAATTATCTCCCCTTATACGTATGTAAGCAAGTCCAATAAGACACACTCCATTCTCAGTTGAATAAACTTCAGTTAAGTCAGAGGCGTAGCGAGACAAAGTGCCACCCTGAGCCCGTATTTATAATGGCACTCCCATTTTTTGGAGGAAAAAAAACAGCGTTGATTAGTACTTGAAAAACAACAAATTCAACAATTAGCTGAACAAACGTTATCATATTTTAAATTTTCGAGGAGAAGCAAAGTTACAAATAACTTGGTCAAAGTCTATCTTCTCCACAGTTTCATGTTCAATTGAAAACGATCTTATACATACTCGATCTCAAGTGACTTTTAAATAAGCTTCAGTTTTGAGAAACTTCTCTCTGCAGTAACAACAGAAACTGTGAGCGTCAAAAACTATTTCTTTGGCACTGTTTCTTAAACTTGCCATTGATAAATCCATCTAAGCCGATAGCTGATGATTTGGTCATTATGGTCATGTCACGTGCTGTCTAGTATGATCGCAAAATAATTGGCTTTTCGAATTCGATCCAATATATTTCCTTTACGTGGTTTCCGAAGATATGAATAAATTCATTTTGGATTTTCAGTGACAAGTACGGCCGGTTATCATTTACTTTTTTCAAGTAATGCTTTCCAAGAACAGGATCGTACTCGCTCATAAGTTCTATAAAGTTACCTTTATTGGAACTATATATTTCGATGACCTTTAAAAGCAAGTTATTTCGTCAGAAACTACACGATATCAAGTAACCGTGTTAAAACCTGTCCCCAATTTCTTTTGTAGTTTCTTCTTGTAATTTACTATCATGGGCCAATTCCAACATCTTTCATTTTTTTGAAAGCTCTTTGCTGGTCAGACGAATTTTCATGTTCAGGCATTTTTGAATTATGCTTCCATAACTTTTGAAATCCTGGATTTCTTGCTAGACTTAATTTCGTGGCCAAAATGTAATGTCTTCGTAAACAGCAATCTCTATGTTTACTTGTTCTATTTCTTTATTTCCACTAACTTCATCAGTTCCTTCTTCATATTCATACCTGTCCTTACCGCATGCACTGGGGCTCTCTTTTTTTGGCACAGCATCATTGTCACCTTCAATTTCTTTAACAGTGTTAATTCCTGCAGGAAATTCCTCTTAAACTTTTATTTCTATATTTGTCTCCACCATATTCGCATTTTCTCCATGTTCCTCCCCTCCTAGTTCTGATGAACATTTAGTATCCTCGTCTTTGCAATTTGCTTTAACTACATATTTCTTCTGTAGGAAAACATGTAAAGATGCAGCACATTTTCTTTCCTCACGTTCTCTGGTAGCTTTTAACTTGTCGTAAGCCGCACCACTCAGTTTTTGCCGTTTACTCATTCTAATCGATGAAAAAACAGAAACAAATAGGAAAAGACCATATACAACGTCATAGGGAATTTTTTATTTATTGTACTCAGATACAATTTGGCAGAAGGATGGAAGTGGAGTTGTAAAAAAGGTTATTAATTTTTTTAACTAGCCCAAACATAACTATATATATATATATATATATATATATATATATATATATATAGCATTATAAGATGCGAATGGGTCACGAATGTAGACATATTCGTGACCCATTCGCATCTTATAATGGCATAGGGAAGCGTTGCTTATAAATAAAATTAAATAATTTCAGGAGCCAATGATTTTTAAAATCTTTTCTAAACTTCAACTTTTAAAATTTATTATCCTTTTTATCTTATACATTTTCGTTACCCATTATTATTTTATTCTTATATTCAATCTAATAATTTTATATATACTCCATACTATTTGTCGTAATAAAAATAACTAAAACCTTGAACATTTGTACTAAAATATCATTAAAATTTTATAATGTTCACTTCTGATACTTGCATATTCTCTAAAGAACTGTCAATTAATTTTTTTTTTATTTTGCCGGCGGATCCTTTTTTTAACCATACGAAAGATGGCAATGAAACTAATCTAATAAGGACAGAAATATTTAATAAAAATTTATTTATATCAGTTCAGCTGGATATTTAAAAAAAATATTTGTTTTAAAATAAAGTCAATATTAAAATTAAAGTAAAAGTCAATATTAAATAATTACACTTCAGACTTAACTTTGTTTTGTTTTTTTAGAGAAACAAATCTTTCTTTATAAAAAAACAATTTGGGTCAACTGAAGAATCTTTTGCCCCCAAACGTGCTTGGGGTATTCTACAGTTGAGTTGGAATGGAGATTCTACAGTTGATCCTAAATGAATATTTTTACTTTAAAAATCTCTAAAAAAATTAAAATTTAATGTAGAATGTTATTTTCACATGATAATTCTAAAATAGGGAGTTTATGGAAAATCTATTGAAATCTCTGAAGAGCGTCAAATTTATACAGTTTTTGAGCTGTAAAATTTGCAAGTTTAGTAAAAAATTTCGAAATCGCGTATATTTCTGGTTCTACTTTACTACGAATGTTTTTCTTTATTTAAAAAAATCTCCACTCTTTTTCTACGAAAAGAACCAATTGAAAAGAAAAAATAACATTCAAAGATCTACAGTTGATCAGTCTGGGAGGAGATTCTATAGTTAAGCTGAGGTGGAGATTTTACAGTTGACCAGTCTGGAGGGATTCTTCAACTGATTCAAAATATCAATTTTTCCAATAAAAAAAGTAAATAATTGGTTATCTTCAAGATACGCACTCCCGATTTTTCCAGCTATTTTAAGGAATTAGCAGCAGGAGTAAGCTTCGTACGCTCTTTTGATCAGCTTTTTTTCGGGAAAATAATCTTGTTTTTATCTGAATTCTTAAATAATTTTCATTTACAATAAATTAATTTGGTCATTTTTCAATAAACATATATGAATTAACTTTTTTTTACTAATAAAATTTGAAAACTTTTTAAACAATGAATTGAAATATTTTTAACAATGAATTGAAAATAAATCAAAAAAGCAGATCAAAAGACCATACTAAGCTGACTCATGCTGCAACTATGAAGAAAGCATTCTGAAATAAGCTGAAAATTTTGGGATTGCGCATCTTGAAGATAACCAAATAAGCAAAGTGTTGAATTTTTTTATAAATAAATAGTTTAGACTTCTTTCATAACGTCATAGCAGTTACGTTCAAAAGGAAATTATGAGCCATCGTCATTGTGCAGGGACTAGCAGAATAGCCTCTTCCTAAATTTAAATGCAGGCTGTTTTGATCTAAAATGTTTCAATTATTAAAATAAACAAAAGAATTAAACTTACGTTTTCAAGTTAACAGGTTTTTACCATGGATAACTGGTCAGTCCAATAATGTGTGTAGGTGCTTTGAGTGTATATGATGATCTGTTCCGGCACCACAGACTCATAAAATATATCTTGGGTAAACATCATTGGGGCAATAAAACCCAAATATTTCTTAAAACCCATGTACGTTATCATTTACTATAAAAATAAACTATAATCCTTATTTTGATTTTTAGTAACCTTTCTTTTACTTTTAAAAATGTCTTGAAATCTAATTGGTTATTGAATGCACAGTAAGCTTCTAGAAACTTTTATAGGTATTTGTTCTACAACTCCTATCCACATTGATGTTCGTCGACTCTTACGTCAGTTTCCAGAATTATCTACACCCTTTACGTATTCTGAGCCAATTTGACATAATTCTGAACATCCTGTCCATTCCAGCCCGCGTCGTCTTCACCCTTAAAAGTATAAATTTGCGAAGGCTGAATTTCAGCGTCTTCTTCAACAAGGGATTATTCGTCATTCCTACAGCCTCTATGATACTCCCTTTCATATGGTTCCTAAACCTAGAGTTAATAAATGGTATCCATGTGGTGACTACCGTTTATGAAATGCTCAAAATACACCAGATAAATATCCTATTCCTCACTTGAGATACTTTGCAACTTTTCTAAGTTGGATTTGCGGAAAGCTTTTCACCAGATTCCCATTGCTAAGCGGGATATTGAAAAAAGTGCAGTAACCACCTCATTTGGACTTTTCGAGTGCGACCGTATGCTTTTCGGACTTAGAAATGCAGCCCAATCTTTTCAACGTCTTATTGGTGAAGTCTTGCACGGCTTTGATTACAATTTTGCTTACATAGATGATGTCTTAATCGCTTCTAAATCACAAGCTGAATATTTTGAACGACTTCGTCACCTCGGTTTAAAAACCAATTTGGATAAGTGTTTGTTCTCTGTTTCTGAACTAGTGTCATACTATTGACAGCACTGTCAATTCTAAAGTCGATGCGATCACTAAATTCTCAGAACCTACTACCTTAAAGCAACTACGCATATTTATTGGTATGATAAATTATTATCGCCAATTTATTCCTAATTGTTCTGGAATTTTATTACCTCTAACAAATATGTTAAGAAACCAACAGCGAAAAAGCTGCAAAATTTCACTTAACGAAGAGCAATCCTCAGTTTTCAAACGAGCGAAACGTGCGCTCGCGAATTTTACAAAATTAACGTACGTCACTGATGATAAGAACACGGCCCTCACTCTTACCACAGATGCTTCGTCAGACACAATGGGAGCTGTGTTGCATCAAGTTCATGTTGGACAGAAAAAAACCCATCTCTTTCTTACTTTGTTAAACCCAGTTCTGCACAGTTGAAGTACAGCACATTCTCGCGTGAATTACTCGCTATTTATTTGTCTATTAAACACTTTCGACATCTGCTTGAAGGCAGAAAATTTATCACTTTTACGGACCATAAACGGATACATTTACGGATACATTTTTTAACTATAGCAGATCGTTTTACAAGGTGGCCAGTCGCAATTTCATTACAATCTACGACTGCGCTGAATCTGTTGCTTAAAAAACAAAACTTCGAAATTGGATATCGAATTCCTGGTGTCCGTCAGTTATTACAGCTGATAGGAGACCGCGTTTCAATCAACATTTTTTGTAGAGTTTCTAAAACTGTTAGGAGTGAAACATATCTCTACTACTGCATACCATGGTTGGTAGAGAGATTTTATCGTCAACTTAAGTCTTCATTAATAATGGCAACAGCTGATAATACCACCTGGCTTGAAAGACTACCTTTAATACTGCTGATGTTGCGAAACGTCTTAAAGATGGATTTGAATTGGGCAGCATCTGAACTGAATTAGTTTACGGGACTACTCTGATATTACCTGAACAACTGGTGGATAACCAGATTTCAGTCTACACCGATGACGCAATTTGTTCGTGAATTACAGAACAGAATGTCTTTTCTTACGTATTTTCCAACACGTGCTTCGAAGAAACCTGTTTTTATGCCGAAAGACTTGGAGAACTCTGAATATGTTTTTGTTCGTCGAGACTCTGTTAAAAAAATCCTCTGGTGCCACCATATTCTGGTCTTTACAGAGTTATTTCGCACGCACCCAAGTATTTTAGTCTTAAAATTAACGACAAATCTGTTACTGCTAGCATTGACAGGCTTAAACCAGCATTTTTGGATTCAAGTCCTTGTCATGATATTAGTACTGGTCCGGCTGCTAAGACAATTCCTTTAACCCGACCAAACAGGATACCAAAGAAAAATGTACTACCACATCATGTAGACGCGTCCATTGGCACACTAAGTTTACCACATATACTTATTAATCGATATTGTAAGTGTAGCCACTTCTAATCGGAGGAGGGTATTTTAGTAAGCTTTCTTTTACTTTTAAACATTTCTTGAAATCTGATTGGTTATTGAATGCAGAGTAAGCTTCTAGAAACTTCCATCGCAAATCAGTCGATTTTTGTGCAAATGTAGGCTCAACATACTTAAAAAAAAAACTCTTTCTCTCTTTTACCCCAACTTAAATGTCTCGAGCAAAAAAATAGAAAAATACGATCTCACCCACGCATTTTTTGGAATTAGTGGCAGCGTCTGCTGAGTTTCCAGTGAGCCAGTTTAGTCATTAAAAATCTATAAATACGAACAGCAAGCAAGTTTCGACGCAATGAGATATACAGAAGACTCAGAGAGACGCTAAGAGAGAACTTAATTTTATGCTGATCAGAGACTGCTTTTTGGAACAAACTTCTTTTATGAAAGTTTTGGTAAAATACTCTACATCACAATTCACCAACGTTTTCAACAACTCATTGTGACAGAACTTTTTCCACTAGAATATCTTTCTCAGAAAAATTTTGTCAAATTTAATTTTAACTTTTCTAGTTAAAGGTAGACAACTTTCACTTG